AAACTGTGCCTACATATCCATCCATCTAAGAACTACTTTCACAAACTGCCTACATATCCATCCATCTAAGAACTACTTTCACAAACTGTGCCTACATATTATCCATCTAAGGACTACAGTAAGGACTACTTTCAGCAACTGCAACAATATATCCACCCATCCATCTTGGTGCTATTTTAACAAACTGCACCTACATTTTCTCTCAGTCCGTAGGAACTAGCTTCACCAACGATACACATTTACAGACCAGCATACTCAAAACAAAACCGACAGAACGCTGACATCTTTTGGTTTGTACCAATTATCAATTTTGCAATGTACGTGTATTGAATAGAGAGAATACAAAGTATAAGATAAAACTCGGGACCTGAAAATCTGTTAGCTATGTGCGTGTTTTGTTATGTGCAAGTTTCGCTATGTGCAAGTTTCGCTATTTGTGTGTTGGCAATTTGTGGTTATGAGAGTCACCAGTCTCACAGATGTGAGGCGCCTCACAAGTTTTTGGTTTGATTTTTTGTTTTGCTTTACTTTATTATATAACTTTGTTTCATTCAATTCATTCGTTTTATTTCATATGTAATAGATTGTACTAATTGTATCAAGGGACTATTCTATGTCAACTGTACCTCTGTATTCCTCCGCCTAGGGATTGCTTTATGTCAACTATGCCTGTGTATTCCTCCTCTTAGGGACTACTTTATGTCAACTGTACCTGTGTATTCCTCCACCCAGGGACTACTTCCGACTGAGCGTGCCCAACTACCAGGAGTGGTTCCAGGAGTCTGTGGTGTTCTGGCTTCACATGTTCCGGGCGGAGTGTAACACACGGGTACACAGGGCTCTGGAGATTGACAGAGATGTGAGTGTGTGTGTGTGTGTGTGTGTGTGTGTGTGTGTGTGTGTGTGTGTGTGTGTGTGTGTGTGTGTGCCTGTGGGCGTGAGTGTATGTGTGCTTGCAAGTGCATGCATGTGCATGTGTGTGCCTGCTTGTGTACTTGTTTTAATGTCCGAGTGTCTTAAGTTTCGTCTTTGGGGTGCAAGAATGGCATAGGTCTTACTGAGGCCAAAATGCAATTCATAGTGTATCTTCATGCAGGTACATCGTGTTATCTAAAAATAATTCAAATTAAAAATTGTCCAAATAGTTTGCTTTATTTGAAAAAAAAAAGTTTTTATTGCGGCACAAGTTGATGAAAGACATAACATGCCATTTGAATACCGAGGCCGAACTGGAGACAAACACCTCAACTTGTCGCAAATAACAGCACCGGTCACGCAGGGGTGCATGGAAATGAGTTTGCTGATGAACTTGCCGGCAAAGCAGCACCCAATGGCCGAATCATGCTCGACCCACCAATGGTGATCGCCAGATGCAAGGAGAGCCTTCACAACCAAGAGGAGACAGACTCCCACACACTCAGCTTAATAAAAGAAAAGTGTATGCGGGGCACAGCGAAAAAAAGTTTTCTCCGAGGAGTGGTCACGCGTGTCTCAAACCAGCTCCTCATGGAGACAATTAGCAGGAAGACCCTGAGGTGGACGCTGGAAAGGAGAGATGAGCAGCTATGGACATGTGCCGCCTGCTATGATTCTAGCTTTGGATCCAAGTAAATCCAAGTAAAATAACAGCAATGACTGTCCCTTTCTTTAAAAGTGGTGTGTTTACTTGCCCAAACATATTGCTATAGGTACATGTAGTTAAAAATTCTTAAACAGACATACACCCAGCCCAGGCGCAGGAGGTTTACGGTGGGCCAGTCACACTGATTTGTTCCCCTATAGAGCCTCCATCCACAACGTCGCAGTCCCAGCCAACAAGAGCGGTCTATTCCGCGGTATCTGTCCGGAGACGTCTCCGACGGAGATAGACCAATCAAAATGCTTTGTGCCTCTAGATCAAGTAAAAAAAATCAGGGTTTATGTTACATTGTTTTAACCCATAATTTGATATTTTTCAGTTTGGTTTTTAATTTTCTTGAAAATGTTTGATTTGCAACAGTTTTTTTTAGCTATATGTGCGATCTGCAGCAAACAATACGCAGTTTACCCCCCCCCCCCAAAGCAGTGCATTTGTGCGTCTCCGAATAGTTCCTGTGTGCTCGAAGGAGACGTCTCCGAATATCTTCTGCCGTCTATTCAGACCAAAGAACAACAAATACCATGGATGCTCTGCTTTACAGCGTTTGGGCCAGGCGAGCGCTCAGACACCTGTAACTGCCCCATATACCTAATATTGGCATGCTATCACCTATGTCAAAGTTGCTCACAGAAGGGACGCCCAGAGCCTCTTTATATAAAAACCAAGGGGTACCATGATCGTCAATGTCAGCTCCAGACCTAATACATGAAGAAGAAGAAGAAGAAGGAGAAGAAGAAGAAGAAGAAGAAGAAGAAGAAGAAGAAGAAGAAGAAGAAGAAGAAGAAGAAGAAGAAGAAGAAGAAGAAGAAGAAGAAGAAGAAGAAGAAGAAGAAGAAGGAGGAGGAGGAGGAGGAGGAGGATGAGGAGGAGGAGGAGGATGAGGATGAGGAGGAGGAGGAGGAGGAGGAGGAGGAGGAGGAGGAAGAGGAGGAGAAGAAGAAGAAGAAGAAGAAGGAGAAGGAGAAGAAGAAGAAGAAGGAGAAGGAAAAGGAGAAGAAGGAGGAGGAGAAGAAGAAGAAGATATAAAAGCATATTACATAGAGCTTTTGTTCTTGCATATCATAGGTCTATCATGTTTGCAAACAACATTGGATCACGCATTTCTGGTAAATCCTTTGGTAAATCCTTTCTGAGAAAGGATGTTAAATCGGATTCATCACCTAGGTGTAGATGATATGTTAACTCTGATAGAGAGTGCTGCCTCTCTCTCTCTCTCTCTCTCTCTCTCTCTCTCTCTCTCTCTCTCTCTCTTTCTCTCTCTTAACATCGGATTCATCATCTAGGTGTAGCTTATGTGGTTACTCTGAAAGAGAGTGCTGGCACATCTATGCAGTGTAAATATATACCAGCCTCAAACTCCACCCCTAGTCAGTATATTGACCAACGGCCTATTTGTTACAGCACTTCATCCAGAATACGAGTAAATGATGATCCACTTTTGGCATTTTGCGTCTTGACAGACGATCGTAAAGCAGTATGCATGATACAGCTTTCCCAGGATGGTAGACATAGAGGACATGTACTTCTTCCCTCACTTCTGATCTCAACTTATTTGATATGCTCCTAAGAAGATACATTGTCAATGTGTTTGGAATCAAATCAGGTATAAGGGTACATCTTGCTATTTCTATTTTCTTTGTTGCTAGATCTCATGTTAATTCAATGTGTTGGGAATAAAATGAGGGGTGCATCTTATTATTTCTATATTCTTTGCTGCTAGATCTCATGTTAATTCACTAAGCTAGTCATAAAAGTAGATTGTCAGTTGTTCTAGCTGTACTTTATGTATGGTGTATAACCAGCCACACCTCACACGGACCTCCCACTACCGATGTTGTAATAATTTGCTAAAATGTAAGAGACCTACATCGCACCATTTGGCGCGTACAAAAGTTTTTATGATCAGTCTAGTATCGTCTACTGGCAACATGCCATTGCTTTCACTTTCAGGTAGATGTACCAGGTCATGACCTTTGGTCTTGACCAATAGATCTTCAAAATATCATGTAAGGACATTCATGTGTCACAAAGAAGAATGGTTTGAAAGATCATGCTTCACAAATAATAGGCCTACATAGGAGCAAAGAATCTAGGAGATGGGAAAACTGTGTTGTGATGTTACACAATTTAAAAAGGTGTATAATAATGATACAAAGTTGAGAAACACCCCTTTTCAGAGTAATTATTAGAAAATCCATGCATAAATAAACACAAATCTGGGGCGATAGGCAAGACAAGAGACTGCTGACTGGATAGTAGTAGTAGTAAACCTAAGTTATTTTAAATCTTTGATTGTGTTTTTTTTCTAAACGAAGGTCTCTATTTAAAACCAAAATGAATCCTTGAAAACAAAGTCACATTGGGACTGAGAGATGTTATTGGTTACCTTCACCAGGAACGCCATTTTGGCACAAATGTTTTCATTATGGCATATGTCCTGTCCGTGTGGATACAGAATGACATGATAAGTCATGTTTTAAGAATACCTTCTTTCTTCCTGCAAATTAAATAGTGCTTATTATGGTACAAACTAAGCAAATTATGAAACTTTGATACAAGTAAGAAAATAAAGAGTTCTTTTTGTTTTTCTCGAAAATGCTGAAAATGACTTATGCCATCATCGCAGCCCAGCGAAAATTTTAAAAATCTGACCTAGTTACGTTCTGTTCCTATTTTGCTGACTAATCTCGGTGGAAACTGGTCCACACCCCCACTTCGAATCTGTCTAGGCAAAACAGTGCCAAAGCGCTTCTCCGTGTAGATACCTTTCGTGTTATCTCATAGCAATAGAAAAAAACATAACAAAACATTCCTAACTTCCTCCCTGTTAAGAAATGAGATGGGGTCACTGAGGAGGTCACTTCAAGTTCAACCACCCACTGAGTGCATTAAAATGGAAGGAAATATGAGTCCTGTGCCAGTTTAAAAAGAAAATAAAGTTTAATTTCTTTATTTTCTTCTTTTTTTTCCTCCAAAAAGGAACACCGTAGAAACTCCGGTGTTACTTCCAATTTTAAAAAAGGGGCTACAACTGAAGGCTATCTCGCTTATTGCTGGACCAAACTTTACCAAATTTCACACATATAACAAGCATAGTAAGGAGTCTTAAAATCTGTAATCAAATTTTAGAAAAACAATTTCGTTTCCATGGATACGGCGGCCATATTGGATTTTGTTGACATGTCTTACGTAATGAATACTACACTTTTTGCTCTTGAAAATTGATTGTTTTTTTTATTTGCATGCGAGTTAGCAAACATTATGTCTAAACATTTTGTCTGTTGTTTTTTCCTAAATGAATAAGAAAAATTTTAATGAATTTTGTCCTGAGGCAGCATTCAAATTTGCAAAAAATCCGTGAAAATCCACACTCCAGACACCACCAACAAAAATCTATTCCATATATCAAAAATTCAACATAAACTTTTTTAGTATTACATCTTCTCTTTATTCTGTGAAAATTTAATAAAGATTGGATGGAATATGGTGGAGTTATTTTAAAAAAGTATTGAGAAAAGTTGCGTTTTGAGAAAACGGTCGATAAAGAAAAATGAAATATTGACTTTATGAGGAAATTATGGTGATAAACATGCCCGGTATGGGGAAAATACGGTTTTTTGGGGCTCTTTTGCTATGAAATAGTTGAAGGAGAGGCTGGGGAAGCTAAAAATGCCTACAATTCAAATTCCTTAATAAAGTAAACTAGTGATCCGTTTGGTTTCAGTTCTGCCAAACACTTACAACTAAAAAATCCAGTCCTATCAATCAAATTATAAAAATAATCGTGGAAAATGCCTAACGATTGCACGAGTTGACACCCCCTCCCTCCACTACCCCGCCCAACGCATTTATGTGTAGACAGTACAGAGTGTGACCTACGATCAACTATATTTAGTTTTAGCACATGTTTTTCTTAAGAAAGACAAAATTGAGCTACAGTTGTTTCTTTTTTTGTTATGTTAGCAAGACAACAGAAGATGGAGTCAACAAAAAAGTCAAGTAGGTGTCGTGAAAACTAGGCAGGTGTTCCCATTCATAACAGAAATAAATGTCGCAAAACAGGACGTGGGTCCTCCAAACCTGGAACCATCATATTATAAAGCATGCCTATAGGCCTAATGCGCGTCTCATTAACGCGAAAAATCCCTCAGCGGGTAAGAACTTTTATTTGTTTGTATTTGCCTGACATTGTTTGAAGAAAGCCAAATTATTTTAGAGAACATAATAACCCGAATAAGTTTTAATTTCTGACCCAGACATTATGACTTTTCTACAACAATGTATTAATTGTAATGCGGTAAAAAAAATTGTGGCGTAGTTACTAATCCTCAAATATCTCTTCAACGGATGAATCAGTGACTCCCATACTTTGCGCAGCTGGTTGTATTAATTTGTCTTAACTTACTCATATTTTTGTACAACAATTGGGGCTGGATTTAAAAAAAACCCTTTTTCACACATTGATATAAAATATTAAAATACTGTAAATATTGGTCCCGCAAAAAAATGGGATTGTTCCTAGCACTTTCTGCTTCTAACACAGTTTTATCTTATTTTGAACGTGTAAGGGAAACTCCAGGGGATGCGGGGTTGGACAGGGAGAGGGGAGAAAGTAGGTGTCCAGAAGTCACACACGTGCATTTCACTTACTCATAAAATTTTGTCTTCATTTTGTACGAATACAACACAGGGCTATGTAGGACGATTCACTTATGTCCAACGTAATGGTTTTTTTCCCTCACTAAAATCTGAAGCATCTATAAGCAATAAAAATGTAGAGCTAGAACAAGTCTTTGAAGGATATGAGCGATTCAAATCTTTATCAAGAAATAGATTCATTTTTTTTCAGTTTGTAAATGATTATACAACGAAAACAATGTCTCATAGCTTACTGAAAGCCATATCGTCCAATGTCTGCACTTCCCACCCCTACATAAACAGAGAAAGATTTTCATTTTCCACAGATGGGTTTTAGGTTTTGTCATCGGCTGTCAATCTGGAATCCGCTACAACATCTGACGTTCAGTTTCAGGATTTCAAAAAATACATCCCACCATTTGATGACCACTTAATATATGTTTATAAATTGTGTACTTACCTTCTGTCTTCTCTCAGACATGACTACTTTGAGAAGAAGCTTTCTGTCCATTGAGGTACTGTGTCTAGCTATCATTTTTATTCCAAGCCATGCTGAAGTGATCCACAAATTTGCCACCATCGACTATGAGTGGCCAAACGCCACTGCCCTTGCCCAGAGCTTGGCTAATGGAGATTTTGCCTCCAAAACCGGGGTCGTGTCGCATTCAGGTGAGACGGAGGATTTTTAGTACATGTATACTCATTATATGTTACAAATTACACACAAGCTGGAGGTCGTCACCTCCCAATCAAGACCGCATATCTACCAACCTCATTAAATTATCATGACCACTTAAACAGCAAAAAAAATAAGATAATTTTTTATTTTAAAAGTAAAAGACCACAACTGCCGTTAACTGAAAAAACACCTTTTCTAAAAATTCATAGCAGTTTCAAGAAAAGAGTTTTTTTGGTCAGCGCAATAATTGAAAAATAGAGTTCTTTGGAGATTTGAATTCAAATTTATTCAAAAACGACTTCGTTTTACTTAAATTGTTTCACACAAGTAGGGTAACTAATCAGGCTTTCCAATTATTCAATAAAACATTTTCTCACCAAAATATTAAAAAGTCGTTTTGTCAGATGTGTTTACATCTGCGTTTTATATCAACAGGTCAACACTAGGCACCATGGTCATCATTGGCACCGCAAAATCTACGTAACTGTCCCACGCACTCAGACGTGAAAGGGATCCCACCGGGCCTCACCACAGTCGTCAAGTGCGCTGATGGTAAATCAGTTCTTCGACCATATCCCAACTGGGATGCTCAGAAAATTGGAGACTGCAGCGCTCTGCAACTCCCCATGAGCATGGCTATAAACCCGAACACTGGATATCTTTACGTCATTGACATTGGTCGTGTTGGAATTTCGTCCCCAAATCCTACCAATCTCTGTCCAGCTAAACTAATCGTGTACGATACAGTTCTGGGCGGTTCCACTATATTGAGCTATGAGTTTCCAGACTCTGTTGTCTCGAGAACGACCAATTACCTCAACGATATCGTACTTGACTACGTAAACCCAAAAGGGGCGTGTGGAGTGAAGTATGCCTACATGACCGACACAATGACGAGGTCGCTCGTCGTCTATGACTTCTCCCACAAGTCGTGGGTTTACAAGGTTTGTTCTCGCTATTTAAGAAAATATTGCATTCTTTACTGACATTGATGTTGGAATCATTATCACCGTCTGTTACTGTTCGTTTAGTCTTTATTCTTCCTCATTCCTGTTGTCTTTTGTTCGTGTGGTAGGTCTAAATGTTTTACGGCGTTTGCAACTGTATAAGGTCATAATATGAGCGCGCGGAACACATTAAACATGTCCAGTTTGGCATGAATTTTGAATATTGCCTGGTTGGCGGCCGATTTTAGGACCACCAAGGGATCTTTAACGTGCGCAACTTGCACACGACATCTCCTAGATTTTTTACCCTTATCTGAGAAGGCTAGGTGTTAGATCTTACCTACAATAAGACCAGGTGATGTTGCTGAAAGATAACAGTAAGAAGTAGCCAAGGAGTAGTAGTAGAAAGGCTGCAGAAAGAGTCAGAAACCCAAATGAGGGGGCAAAGGGAAAGGGGGGGGGGGGCAGAAAATGGTAACGAAATCAGACGACAGAACATGGTTGGAGAGCACGAAAGGAGAGGAAAGGAGAAAATATTAGAGAAGAAAATATTCCGGCGCTGTCAGGTTTCGAACCCGGTACCTATTGAATGAGTCGAACACTGTAACCTCTAGACCATGAGAGCCCCCCCTGTCGTCTTTATCACATGACCATGCCTTCTTCATTTCCTTGCTTCTTTGTTTTCGATACAATTGTCAGAATTATCGTCATCATCTTTCTCTTTTTTTAAAATTTCGAATTTTGAAAAAGAAGTGGATTGCTTTAAAGTCAAATAATAATACAGCTAACATAATGTCAAAAAATTCTACTGCCAATATACTGTCAAGCCAAGGGGAGAGAATGAGTGGGATGGGTTGACTTCTTTTGAGTATTGATGATTTATAACTACACTGTCCGCAGGTTTTCTATCACCATTAAACTAAATTAAGCGTTGACCGGTTAAAGTGTCGCTTCTTTGTGTCCCGGCCAGCTGCTAATTTAACCAACTTGCAAAAGTTAAAGACACGATCTTGTACTTGGTTCAAACCATAATTTTTTTTGGTTGATTTGTATAATTTAATGGTTTCTCCATTTCCCCACTGTACTCAAACCTACCAGGACCCTGTCAGCATGGGTACTGACAATGACCAAGACATCACCATCCACGGCATCATATACCCGGTGGACGTCGGCGTCGGAGGAATCGCAATGTCCCCCCACTTTCAACTACCTCTATTACTCTTCTGTCGGATCCAAGAAGTTGTATCAAGTAAGATTGAACGCCTGCACGCTAAAGAAAAAACACACACACACATACTCACACAAACACACAGACATACACACGCCTATCAACCCACCTGCCTATACTCTCACACACAAACATACACATATTATGTATGTATACATACTATGAATGTATATAATATGTAAGAACATTACACATTAGGATTAGACATGCATACACTTACATACGCGTAATATATATACATCTACTTGCATGATTAATATGTTATGTATATTATACTTAATATAACATTATGTAATACATTTTCTGGAAAGCAAACTCCTTGTTCCTCAACTTTGTGTCTCGGCCCAGGACAGGTTCATACATGGGTTCTGAGAACGCCAGGCAATGACTTTGTTAGTACCACACGCCTTGTGGGCAGCAAGAAGTCTCAGGGTGGAGGGATGGTTTTTGGACACAAGGGACTTTTCTTCGGAGCTTTGGAATATGACGCTGTGTACAAGTGGGTCGCTGTTCTATAATACCCCGAGAGAATGTGGTTAGGTCCAAGTGTCTTTCTTTTTCAACCGTTGGTGTTAACTGTCTTTCTGCACTCAATAGAGTTCATTTCGAAGTGGTAGCTTTAAGTCTTTTGGACAATGAACTGAGAGGAACGAATCTTAGAGAGAGAGAGAGAGAGAGAGAGAGAGAGAGAGAGAGAGAGAGAGTTTAGGAGGATAACCTGTCATCACGATTGTACCTTGCTTTGAGCAGTGAAGCAAATGAAGCTGCAACTATATTTTAATTCTCATCATGCTTTAATTATGCCTACGTCAAATACACAAAGAAATCACCTCACTCTCCAGACGGGACATGGAAGCTGACGTAATATCCCAGGGTGTGTCGGAAGGGGAGGCTGTCATGGAGACCCAGGACCCTGCGGCTCAGAACTGGCAGACCATGCAATGGACGGACGCCCTTTCCCTGGACAACGAGTCCAACCTGTACTTCACAACCAACAGACTGCAAAAGTTCGTCACCAACAAAATGGACTTCGACGGAGGAGATGGCGCTAATTTCAGAATCTTCAAGTACAATGTACACGATAAGTCCTACTTGTTTCCTGCTGTACCTGAACGCCCCGAGTCCATCGTAGGATAAGAGAAAACAAAGTCTAATTCTTGATTTTAATCGTAGACTGAATATTTTTGTACGTATATACAATTACGTAATTGTTTGTATTAAGTGAATAAACACTAACAAATCTTAAAGACAGGATGGTGTTGTGAACGAAAATATACTTTTTACGGGTGGATTTTTTTTTGTTGAGTCAGCCACCATACCAAGAGAGCATGAAAGACAGCATATATCTTGGGTACTAGCTAATTATTCAAAGTGACTTACTCTGAAAAAACAACAACCCAACTGTTTTCGTTGGGACCCCCTTAAAAAGCATGTCTGTATTCGCAACTCTAACGCTTGAACTATGTCTTGTTGTTTTGAAAAAAAATATCAGATAAAATTTGAACATGCTTACATCGATTTGCTAAGTTCAATAAAACAAATTTGATTTGTACGAGCGTTTTCGTTGTGCTGTTTGCAAGGATAATACTGTCAAAAAGAATAATAACATTATGTAATACATTGGTATATTTATTGTATATCGATCCAGGGCAACATGTGAGTTCACATGAATGCCATTGTCAAGTAGACTTATACAACAATAATACTTGCAAGTTCAAGAAGTAATCAGCAGTGCTAATTTCCACTTGAACAGCACTTTATTACATCACTTTCTAAAAGATTAAGCGTGAGCGACATGTAAATGAAACACTCTAGGCTCAATGAAAGCTTACAAATGCAAAAATGTAAGTAGTATCTGGAACTTGAGTCATTCAAACGGTATTCCCCCCCCCCTCCTTTTGTCTCTCGCTTCCA